GGGAAGCCTGGGCTGCGCTGCTTGCACGCGGGCCGTCGTGTAGACGCTTAACTCGAGTTAGCGAATAGTACATACTCGCAGCGATAGGCGGCAACACTAGTACGATGTACGTACACAGGTCGTGTGGACGCACGCACGCACCGCATGCACGTGACGGGTTGCGCAGGGCCAGCCGCACGCACGCGCTGGCATGCACGCACGTGTACGTGCACACTGCACGCAGCGTCACGGCCACGCCTACGTTCACATGCATGCACGCACGCCAGCGGCACGGTGTACGCTGGCAGCAAGCACGCACGCGGAGCACAAACGTGTACCTTGCACACCGGCGTACACAACGCGGTCGTTGTCCGCAGCGCACGCACGCAGAGCACGGTGTAACGTGCGCGAGCGCGGCGGCGCACGCATGCACGGCACGTGTGACGTGCACCACGCATGCACGCACGTGTACGTGGCCGCACGCATGCACGCACGTGTACGTGCAAGAGGCGGCGGTGGGTGGAGGAGTCGAGGGGGGCCCGCAAGCGCGACGTCTACGTGGCAGGCATGGCAGCAGCGCGCCAGCAGGGCACGTGTACGTGCACATCTGTGCAACGGATGCAGGGCGCACGCACGCATGGCAGTCGGCAAGCGGGCACGCATCGTATACGTGCGACTACGCACAGGTGGCCGCACGCGATGCCCGTATAGGCGTGCACAACGGCGAGTTGTGCACGCGCACACAGGCACGCATGTTTAGGCATAGCACACGCAAGCGCAACGCCATGCATAATAATCGGTAATGAATGGCGCTATGCCGGGTGTTGTCGTGGTAGACGCTACATAATCGCTAACTCGAGTTAAACGGCTTTAACTGCGGTTAACGGCTTAAGCTGCTCGAGTTAACGCTTAACTCGAGTTAGCTTAACTCGAGTTAAGGTTCGTCGTGTAGACGATGCTTATATTTTATTGAACGCTCCAAGTGCCTGTGATATTTTGTTTTTCTCGTGACTCTGTGACATTCCTTATCCCCATCCCTCTCGCTCCCTTGCTGTGTCTGTTTGTCCTAACATGGCTTTCATGCGTCACTGTGACATTGCTATTCCCCCTTCTCTCTCGCACCATCGTTGGCTCTGTTTGTCCTAACGTAGGCTTATCTCCATCCTTTCATGCATTTCTACGGCATTTCCATGCTGCATTTTTGCTGCTTCTGCCTGCATGTGTCTAATCACAGGTATGTTGCTGTTCTTTCACGCATCTCTGAGACACTTCCATGCCCCCACCACATCTCGCCACTATACCTGTACCTGATTGCTTTCGCCCACCTGTGTTTCACAGCCCTCTCTATACCTGAGTGCACATACGTGCTATACATGATATATACATCCTGCATATGCATGATATACATCATGATATATATATCCTCATTCCTGAATGCTATACATCCTGCGGCGCCCTCTGCGTCATCTATGTGCACGACTATCCTATGTACCTGATGATGATGATGATGATGATGATGATGGTGATGATGATGATGATGATGATGATGGTGATGATGATGATGGTGATGGATGGTGATGGTGATGATGATGACGGTGATGGATGACGATGATGATGATGATGATGATGATGATGATGATGATGAGGAGGAGGAGGGTGATGACGATCACAGTGACAATTCCTACCACTCGCGTCTAACCACACCCTACGTCTCCGTGCGACAGCTTCCGGCGCTGCGCGGCACCGTCGTCGAGGAGAGCATCCCGGCGACGACGAAGCCGAGCGGCTCGCGGCCGCTGCCCGTCAAGGACGTGCTGGAGTACGTCGTGCCAGACCTGCAGACCTGCTGCCTGAAGCTAGCGACCAGCGGCCCGCAGACATGCCAGCAGCTGATGAAGGTCGACGAACAAGTGGTGAGAGAGAGGGGGAGAGAAGGAGAGGGGAGGGGTGTGAGATGAGAGGAGCAGTTGTTGAGGAGGGGAAGGGAGGGAGGAAGAGAGGAGGGGAGGGATAATTGAGGGAGTGATGGATGAGAGAAGGGTGGAAGAGGACGCAGGGATGGAAAAGGTTGAGGGGAGGGAAACAGAGAGGAGCAGAGGAGGGGGAAGGGGAGAGGGGTGGAAGAGGACGAGGGGAGGAAAGTGAGGGACGTGAGGGGTGTGATGAAAAGAGGGATGCGGGAAGGAAGAGGACAGGAAGGAAGGGGAGGGAGGGAGGTATGGGGGTTAACCGTATTTCGCTCAGCAATTGTGGCACAAATTTCCTCGACTGTAGCTGAGGGAGGGATGTTAACCGTATTTCGCTCAGCAGTTGTGGCACAAATTTCTTCGACTGTAGCGGTGTTTCAAAAAATTTATTATTGATCAAAATAAATTTATGAATTTTTCTAAGAGTTCAGGCAGAATAAATAGGCACTTAATTCTTCGTGATTGTGTCAATCATTTTGATAAAGGAAGTCACTATTTGTGTATGCTTTTTAAGGCTTCCACATTAGTTAAAGTCCACAGGCTAAAGGTCATTGCAGTAGTAGGAGGAGATTATCACACATGCTGCCCTTTTAATATAACACAGAACCGTTTGGTTCATGGAGTGCAGTTGGGGTTGTGCAATAGGGGACCGAGTTTCACAATTTTCTTTAATTACCACTAGATGACGCCACACTACAAGATTGGCATCATGTACTGCAAGGCTGGTCAATCAACCGAGGAGGAGATGTACAACAATGGTATGTGTTTTACAGCACAAATAATAGCACTTTACCACATATTAAGAAAAATTGTAACAACCCGCTCGGCAATTTTCATAGACATGGTGTACTACAATGGTAATAGTTTCGATGTTGTCCATAGCAATGTTCATATCTCAATATTGCAATATTTTCTTTGACGAGTTTTTTATTTACGTAATTTTTTACAGAACATTCTGGTCCTGCCTTTGACGAGTTTTTAGAAACGCTGGGCACTAAAGTCAGACTAAAGGACTTTCTCAAATACAAAGGCGGCTTGGACACAAAAAGTAGGAGACTATTTTAGTCAAACCTCTACCCTTACTACAACCACCACTAACACTACCAACACTACAACCACCCACCACTAACACTACCATCACTACAACCACCCACCACTAACACTACCATCACTACAACCACCCACCACTAACACTACCAACACTACAACCACCACTAATACTACCATCACTACAACCACCCACCACTAACACTA